CGAGGGAGGGAAGCTAAGCGTGGAGGGAGAGAAGAGGAGGATTCGGCAAGGAAAGCATGAAGGGGGGAAAGAAATGATGTAAAAGGGAAGGAACGAGGACGGAAAACTTACGTGGGTGGCCAATGCCGCTTGTCGATACGTTATCTCCACACTCTGCTTCCCGTAGGCAGCATGCAGGGGCGGGAGAGCGACCAAGCGCCCGGCGACGAAGTAGAGGATGGCCACGAGAGCCGCCTGAGGAGGGAGGGAGGGGAAGGAGGGGAATTGGCTTGGTATGGTGGAATCTCCGAGAGAGATCTTTGATCCGTGCCCACATTCTCCCTCCGTGACTTTCAGAATCACAGCGCCGGCACAGAAGAGGTCATCGTTCCTCTTCTCTTCCCGTGTGGAGGCTCTCTCCGAGCTTCCCTTCCTCCCGTCCTCCCTCTCGCACTGCCGTGGTTCGTTCACCCCGCTGCCTCACTCACCGCGAAGATTCCCAAGCCTGTCATTTTCTTCGCGTTCTCGAATTCAAGGGATAAGTAGAAGGCAATGTAGACGCAGGCGGCCAGCAGGGCCCAATTCAAAGTGAGAGGGACGCCCTGAACGGAAAGGTTCGTAAGCGAAGAAGGCAGAGAAATCTGGCTAACAATGCCGGCGTTCGTCCAAAGCAGCATAAGCCCGGTGAATATCAAGGGCCAGATGCAGACGATGTGGATCCATTTATTGACGGTGTTGTCGTGGTAAGCCGCATAGAAGGTGAACTGTGGGCGTAGATAATTGGAGAAAGGGTGAGAAGGTCGTATAGGAATGTGCAAGAGGGGATCAAAAGGATTGAGAATGTACAAATTTCAATGCATCACGACACAAAGAAGACTCTCAGGGAGGTAATACATGAGCATGTTGTATCGACTGTACATTCAAGACTGCTGTCGTGGGATGCGAGAGAATATGAAGGTACCGCGGAGGATAGAACAGGCATCGTGCAATTTGTGAGGTGTGCAGACTGTTATTCGTCAATACATGATACTCGCGCCCCGCCTCTTTGATACGTACCTGCTTCTCAATATCAAGCAGTCCTGCTTTCTTGGGTGCCATCTCGAACTACACGATCACCGGAGCAACCTGTGCGCGTGTAAAAATGCACGTCTCTTAGTTCAATACGCATGATGTGAGGATAAAAAGGGAGAGGAAAGCACTAATGGCATGGACCAAGTATGTTTGTGTCTCAAGGTGATTGTGGCGCGACTGATGATGCCAGGGCGCGTAACGGTCAACGAGCCGTTAAACCAAACAAAACTTCAAGGTCCGAACCAAAAAATTTAATGGTCGGCGTCCCGGAAAGTGATTGTCGACCATACTCATCTTTCTCGTCAAATGCATAATAAACGAGGAAAATTATTCCGAGTTCTGGCGATAGTTTCACAAAAATGACCCTAAGTTCCAACTTTCTCGTTCAATTACAGGGCAGAGAGGGAGGGGCGGAGTCACGATGACGAGGTTGTCAAGGCGGGAGCTTTCTCCCGCCAAATCAAGGGAAGCAAAGGGCGATGACGATAATGCCAAAGTAATGCATACTGGCATGTTTGATCCGTCCAATCACATCACAGCCCCAAAAGTACCGCGAAGCTCTCCGCTCAGACCCTTACCAGTGGACATGCAATCCCATGGAGGACTCCGAGGGGTGGCTGCTGTGTGGATCGTCATATTTCATTGCTTTGGGGACCCCAGATATCATGCAGGCTGGGTGGTAGCGTTACAAGGATCGAGCCTGATGCCTTTATTCTTTATGCTGTCCGGTTTCTCGTTGGCTGTGACATATGGGCGCACGACATGGGCTGTGTCGTCCTTCACTTGGCCTTGGGGAGGCAAGAATGAGCAGCAAGGTGCCAGTTCCTCGTCACAAAGCCACTCAATATGTGTCGTCACTGGTATGGACAGGATGGAACAAGGCAACGAACTGCCGGAAACGACGACAGTCGCTACGTCCGTGCCTGCCTGCTTAGACCCCCCAACACCTCTGCAACCCTTCTTTCCCACGCGCGATTTCTACCAGAACCGCATTGCCCGGGTCATACCCGTATACTGGCTGTCCATCCTCATCTCCATTCCGTTGTGGCTTCTGAACATTGCCGATTATCCTTTCTCCCTCCAAACCTTCCTCCCCTCCCTGGCTACCAGCATCATCCCCGTCACCTCGCTCTTCTCGGCGTGGAACGAGCATTACATCGCAGCCATCAACCCCGTCGGCTGGTTTATCACAACGCTTGCCTTCTTCTGGCTGTTTTTCCCTGTCTGGCTCCCGCGTATGCAACGCTTATCGGACAGGGGGTTGCTCGGCGTGGTGGTCGTGGGGTATTGGCTACAACTCTTTTTAATCCAAAGCCTTTATTCCGTCCTGCCCCTTTTTTTCCATTTCCGCCCCTTCACCACCGCCACTATGAACCCTCTTTCCCGCTTCCCCCTCTTTCTCATAGGCATGGCCGCAGGCTTGCTCTCCTTGCGGCATGCGTCTTCTGAGAAAATTCCCGGAGGCCCCCACCGGACGCTACCCACCCCCCAGGCAGGTGGCGCAACTCATTCGTACAACCCCCTTGCATGCAGTAAAGGCCAACACCTTGGCAGGAAAGGATCGGAGATCATCATCAAGTCCCCTGTCAGGAGTCAAGAGAAAGCCAATGTCCACATGCGCCCGCCCCCTGGCCCCCTGACCGGGGACACCTTAACGGCGGACGGTCTTTTTCCGACGGGGTTTAATTCCATCATAAAGGCCGAAAACGGGCATGTGGAAACGTCCCCGGAAAAGGGCGACAGCACGGTCTTTCCTTGGCCGGCCTGCGTCCTTTGCCTTCCCCTGCCAACGCCATGCGCGGCGTCCCGCCCGCCTGTCAAGGATCATCCTCCTAGCCCCTCTCGTCCTCCCCGTGGATCCACGCTGCACAGTGAACGAGCTCCGCCACCTCCTCTTCCCACCGACCGAGGTATCCCCAGCACCATCAGCTCCTTTCCTCTTGCCCACGTTTGCGACGAGCCTTCTCCCC